GCACCATGGAGGGAGGGGGGGGGGGGGGAGCCATGTCTGGCGGCCGCTCGTGCCACCGCTCTCTATGGTGAGGCCTCCGCGGTACCCGGCCGGCCGGAGGGACGTTGGGGAGATGCCGGGATTGGGATGCGGGGAGATGCCGGGATTGGGATGCGGGGAGATGGGACCAGGATGTGCGTTTCAGCATGCAGGGATGTGGGATGCGAGGCTGCTCAGTGCCGGGATGAGAGTGGCAGGGGGTGGGGTGCCCGGTGCTTGGATCAGGGATGCAGGGGGTGGAGATGTGGCCTGCAGGGATGCTCAGGGCAGGGATACGGGGGCTTGAGGAGCTGGATCTCAGGTGTCACATGCAGGTGCTGGGGGAAACCAGACCCCTGCTTCCCTCTCCACGGAGAAGAGACCTAAGGCCAAGGCGCTCTGGGGCTATCAGCTGCACTGGGAATTTTGACATTTAACCACAGGGAAATGCCCAAGAAACGCGGCTGTTCTAAGAGCCTCAAACCAACCCCAAGGAGCCCCTGATGCTCCCTTCACCACCCGGAGCCCAGACGGCACCATGGGGACAGGCTGTGCAAGGGCTGCAGAAGCAGCCTCCGCTTTCCTGCTCCCAGGCAGCAAGGAAGGGGCACCAAATAAGCACCCTGATTTGGGCTTTTTATTGCATTTGCTTGTTTAATTACAAGCTGGTTAATGGGAAAGGCCTTCTGGGGTAACTGAGCAGCTCAGCACTGATCCAAAGTTCAGCTTCCCCCAAGAGGAGAGGAAAGGAGATGGTGACTTTAACCTGCAGCTTCCTCCTCATAAAGGAGGAAAAAAGTCAGTGCTGGAGCATGAACTTCCCTGCCAAGCTCCCGACCCGGCCTCCGTGACAGTCCCACACACCCCAAAGCTTCACCTCTCACTGCTGCACTTCTTTCTGACTCCCCCCTTGCTTGGCTCATTCAAAACTCAGCTACACAGATGTGGGAGCGGGTGCAGGAGGAGCCCAGCCCCTGGGAGCACCAGGCAGGTTGGACAGGCCCAGGAGACATTTCAAGACTGTACAGACGCCAAAACACACAGCTGAGCACTAAAGGAGCTTCTGAAAAGCAATTAAGACTGAGAGGCGTTTGCAGCTAAGAGCTGATTTAATAAGTGTCATAAAACCCACGTTCTTTCACTCACCGTCTTCGAAACCGGTTTGTGGCTGTCAGCAGCAGCGCGATGACAACATGAGCTGGCCCTGTGCCTCTGTCTCCCATCTCCTTTGGGGCGTTTGCAGCAAGGACCAGCGTTTCTGAGGGCTTTACATCCCTGGCCCTGCTCCTTGGCCCAATAGAAGTTTCCAACCCACCACCCAGAGAAACCAGGCTGCAACTATAATTTCAAGCTAGCTACATTAATATCAGCTGCAAATGGAGCCAAATTGAAAGTTGGGGAAATTGCTTTTGTTTGGGAGCCTCTGAGCAGGGAATGCTGGAAATCCTCCTTTACTGGGGAAAAGCCAGTGCCTCCACTTAACCTTTGCTGTAACTGCCATTTCCAACAGGGAATAATGCAAATATTTCCCAGCACGCAGGTCATGTCCCGCTGACCAAAGCAGCTGCAAACATTTGCCTTTAGACGGGGCTACACGAAACGTTATCGGCTGGAACGCGGCCTCGCTGGAAAGAGCTGCTGCTCCCAGCAGTGCTTAGGAGCCCTCTGGGGCTGCTGCGACACCAGAGGCGAAATTTTGTGCTCCTTATGGAGCAGGGCTGGAAAATCCACAGGGGAGGACCCATGGCTGCCCAGATTATCCCCTGTTAACGCGTGCTTAAAGGCCCTCTTGCCAGAGCCAGGAGCACCATTGATGGGGCCCGTTTAG